ATGGTAATTTATAAAAAATTTGTATCCATATTTACTTTTTTTTAAAAATTTTTCTAATGCGTGTAGTCAACCGTTAAAGTGAAAGCAAAACGTATTCTTTGAAGAACTGACGTCAGATACTGCGTCGCTTTCAAATATTTGCAGGTGAAATCGACGACACAATATGAATAAACACAATTGAGACTCCTCATGGCGTCTTTTTTTGACTCATGAAAGTAAATACGTTGAAAGAAACTCTGTTGTCTATAAAAACTGCAACTGTTTTGATTAACTGGCATTTTCCCGATCATGACGATACAACGATTGTTGATTCAGGCAGCGGCAGCTCTGTAAGTGATTCTGTCATGATAAATCAATGATATAATACACTCTTATTTCTAGATATGTTGTCTGCATTATCATAGGTATGAGCAATTAATTTTAATCAGCCATTTGCATAGAAGTCCAATATGAGTGTCATTGAACTAATATTGATTAGATTTTTGTTAGTTTATTCAAGTCTTCATGTCGAAAAATTATTTAATAATTTAATTCTTACTTTCTTTTTTTTATGAACTTAGTTATTGGACAGAGCAAGGCCGAAACACAACCTTCTACGTGTGGGTGTTGTCCATCACCATATTATCAAGGAAAAACAGGTTCGTGTTCAACAAATTCCAATTGTGAATGCTTGTGGATGACAATGACCGGAGGATCAATATGTGCAGAACTAGTTGTGTCATGTAGAGATTTGGTTCCATGTGCAAATGATAATAAGACATGTTCGTTATCCAATACTATTTGTGTTAATAACACGCAGTGTAACGGTTTTCTTTGTTATCCGATTGATCGCGCCTCTACTCAACGATGTCCACCACTTAGCTCGACCACTTTAATTAATACTACAAGTAAGTTGGTTTTAACTATGATACTGACAAAACTTATTATAGAATTAATATATAGCTATGTAATCTTTACCAAAGTTCGGATGTTTTTTTAAAAATATGTCCATTTTTCAGGCGAAGTTACAAAAGGACTTGGGTCCTACCGAAATATGAAGATCTCTTAAGGAATTAGTTGGCAAAACATTTATCCTAAAATGATTAAGTATTCAAAAGTTAAAAAGATGTCTGTTTATACTTTTAAAAAGGCACACTTTTGAGTCTTACTAAATTGTATTTTCAACTCTACTATGGCCAATACAACAAAACAGCACACCAATACTTGTAAATAGAACTGAGAATGCAAAGCACTGTCGGCAAAAATATCTTCCTTGCATGTACAGTTTGTGTAACAATCAATCATCCATGTCCATAGAATCACTTCCTTTTCTCCGGAATTCGAAAACTACACAGGCTAGATAGCTCAGCTTTGCACCATCATCTAGAAGATATTCTATAGTTAATATGCACGCTTAACGAGTGCTTTATCTTGTCTTATCATCTTTTTATATGAAAAATACTGGAAATGTGTCTTTTTACTTCAATGGAAATTATTTATTTGATTGTAGAACAAAGAATTCATATTCTACCGAAAATCGGTATGAATGACATATTTTTAATTAATATTTTATGTGATACACTTGAAATGAGTACTGCTGAGTATAAAAGTTCTATTGGGTTATGAAATAACATTCACCAGATTCGAGATGGCTTTTTTCTCATTGTTCTGAACTCTCCAGCGGCAGGAACCGTTAGATTTTTATATGCTCGAAGCCGTAGAGGTCGACCCCTACATCCCTAAATGTACATTGAAGGCCAGTTTTATGTAAATGAACTTACTAAGAATAAAAATACACGATGGAAGACTACTTTGATTTCATTCTGTCTTTATGTAAATGTCTACAACAGAACAATGTTTTTGATGAATAATACATATGAATTGCAAAAGCGGATAGGAGTATTGAAATGTATCAGGAAATACTAAGGAGACAAAATCTGAACTCATTTATGTCGCGTTATACGTGTTGCAGCAAAAGCGTAACTCAAGTATCATTCGCATTCTATAGACCGAGAACAAAAGACATTGTATCATCCTGAAGCATTGGAAAAGTAGGTAAATCTGTCAGAATGTATGGGTACTCTGTTTATCTACATTCTAAACAGCCTTCTTGACTACTGATTAGGATCACATTAGTTTAGAAGCAGCATGAAAGAATCGATATCAACAAATTTAGGAGTTGATAGTTATCGATAAACAACGCAAATCACTCTGTCCATCTGCATAAGACTGGTATTGAGACTTAGGAGGAGTACTTGTACTTGTATTTTTAACTAAGCGCTAGCATCTCTACTTGCCATTTCACGAACATATTTGTAGTCAGGTTGATCGTCACCTACGCCTCGAGACGGCGCAGCCATCTACAAGACATTTCAGGGACAACGACAGAAGACAAGGGAAATTTGCGCGTTCATTAAGCAAAAGAGAAATCTTTTTTTCTGGTATTCAGAGCAAAAGCAGAACCAACACACGATTGAGCCGCTAGGCTTGAAGGCTAAAGAGAAAAGTTTTTTGCGAAAATCAATCAGGTTCAAAATGATGAAAGAAAAATTTGTTGCGTTTTCCTAAAACAGATTAAATTGTCCTCTTCGCTCTCAAATTTCGTGGGCTACTGACAGATTCGACTGGCCACAATCAAGGGTGGCTGAATGTAAGCAAAAATATGTCGATATACGTCCTACCTACACATACATCCTCTAGTGCATATATGTGCGTCCTAGCGTTGATGCCATCCACTACGCTGTAATTCAATTTCAGCCAAAATCATAATATGGCTGTGAAAAGCTGTCTATCATAAGGAAGCATGAACTGCACGGAAAGGTACACTAAGCAGATGTTCGATTCTAGATGAAATCGCTCCTTCAGGTTGCCAAGTGTCTATTACACAGAAGTGTTTACTATTTAAGATTTTCTCGAAAAAATAATGACACCATTATGTTGTGCTTTTCTTTACATAAAGTTTCAAGAACCATGGCAACAACACCATTGACAACATCAATAGCCGCCACCACACTCTCATCAACATCATCAAGAGCGGCGACAACATCGACAACCTCAAGAACAACGACAACATCGACAACCTCAA